CCACAGGGCAGGAAACCCTGACTGCCCTGGGGGAAGCTCCAGCTCCCTCCCCCTCCCTCCAGGTCCAGGAAGGCGAGCGTCCAAACAGACTGGATCCCCAAAATCCAGCATATGCAGAGGAAACAGGTCCCAGTGTCATAGTCAATGGCTTTTCAGAAAGACCCCGGGCCAGCCACAGTCAGAGAATCTGGCTAGATCACGTCCTCGTTCAGTCCCAGTCCGACTGGCCCTGGTAAATTCTCATCAGATCCGTTCCCTTGTATCAGTGGGTGATAGCATCCCTCGCAGTACTGATTTCGTCTTTCATGTTCCTCCTCCTTCCGCTCCCCCTCCGGACCTCGGGGGGCTCAATCCGTTGCTCCAATGTGGGCCTCCAACTGCATAGCCGTCCTTCGCCAGACGAAGGATCTGGGACTCTTGTCTATTTCCTACCTCCTGGTGGATAGCTAAATAATCTTCATCAGGTTCATCTTCTTATTTAGCTTCTCTAGGATCACGAATAATAGGCTCAAAGACCTTTAATTATGGTTAGAATCCACTTATGAGTGAATACATACCGTGTTCCTCTTTTTACTAATAATGAGAGCAACAAGTTCTCACAGTGTATAGGATAAACTCTTCTGAGCTGATTTCTATGTGAGGTCTTTCTGTGCTCTTTCTGAAACTGATGGATGATGGCTGAACAGAAGATAAGTTCTTAGAACTCAGTTTTGAGACGGAGAGATTAAGGTAGGGTCCACCAACTGTAGGCCTTTTCTTTATCACATAGATTAACAGTGAGATTCCATTTGAGTTTTGTTTGCACATTATTAATTGACTGTCCAGCCACATTTACCTGTTTGTATTGCTTGCCAAATTTCGCCAGTTTTTCAAAATTGTCGTTAGTCAAAGAAAAATTTATAGTAATGATATTTATAGAAATACTAATTATTGTTGCTTAGTTCAAAGAAAAGCAATATTATGTTTTTTGTTGATAATTCCTATTGGGGTAGCTTGAAACTGGGAAACGTGTTATGGAGTAGTAGATAATAAAGAATAAATTTTCTACAATAAAATGCACGAGGAAGATAAGAGAGAACTAGAGTAAACCCAGACTCAATAACTGGATTGCCGTGAGCCACAGGGTCAGACGGACAGGCAAGCCAACAGCGTTTGCCTGTAATTCAGGATAGGATGTATTAAGAAGCTGAACCTTGGATTTTCTTCAGAACTGACATAAAGAGTAAATGAAAGAAAGATCAATAAGGCTACTAGAACAATGTTGGGGTTAGAGTATAAAATTAGGAAAGATGAATTGTGTGGGAACCCCTCCTAAACAAAGACAATCACATGAATACTGAATTTCACATTGTATTTTTCATGTAATAGTAAAATAAAACAAATTTATATTTTTGTATTGAAATGTCAGCAAGTGTCTGACCTCTCTGTTGACTTGCTAAGTTATCACTGGAAATTAACAGTGAAGTCCTCACTGAGAACCCAAATGTGTAAGGTACCATTTGATTTCAGTTTTTTTA